AACAACAACAACATATGCATGCACATTTGTGCATACATGTGTGTTTGATTAAATCTGTGTATCACTACATGACAGTGTGAACACATAGATGTGCAGATGTGGATATATGTGCTCCCACATATGTGTATTATACTGAGATTCTGAGTTTTCAGGGGCCTGGAGTGTCCTGGTCTTAGTCTGGGACGTCCACCACGGGTGTCCCTGCTGGTATTTGTTGGGACAGCTCCCTGCATCACAGCAACCCATGAGCCATCACAGTGGGGAACACTGACACCGCTGGGGTGGCTTCGTCTCACAGACTCTGGGCATGCCGTCATGTTTGATGGAGCAGAGGGTCAGCAGGAAAGTGGAAGACCCTCAAGGAGATGGGCTGACACAGCGGCCACTGCAACGGGCTCAAGACAGAGCATGCTGAGGCTGAGAGAGGGCCGAACTGGGAGGGGTTTCATGCTACTGGACGGGGGGGTCACAGTGAGTCGACTGATGGACGACCCCAGTGGACTCCAGGGTAGGGTAGGACTTAGGGGTGAGGCCTGTTCCCTCAGATCACAGTTGTATGGGCCTGCAGACAGTGGCACCTCCTACAGCCAGAAGAGCTGCTTCCCAACAAACCCGAGGGGCTAAAAACGCAGGAGAAGGGTGTATGCCCCCGAGTCAGCAGAGGTTCACAGGGAGGTGACCCCGTGATGGTTACACCAGCCTCTCTATAGACTAGACTCTCTAAACTGTCAGGAGGCAGGCCTGTGCAGACATCTGCTGGCATCCCGGGGGCTCAGATGGGCGGGAGGTGAGCAGAGGGCCTAACCCAGCCACCCCAGTGACCCCGCTGACCTCTGGATAATGACCGGTTCTTTTTAAAGTCCTCTTTAAATATGTTTTCTATAAAAGGATGGGTCATAAACTTAAACAAACACAGGACCTGCAATCTTGGTGAACACCATTTATGGGCGCGGATCAGTCACCCTTCGGGGTTTCAGGGCGTTCTCCATGGGGCCTGGGGCCGCAGAAAGTTTTCACATGGGGTGGGTCGGGCTCTGCCATTCCCTGTCCCAGCCCACTGCCCTCAACAATGACCATCACTGGTGTCCTGTCCAGCCACAACTCCCTGAGCCCTCTATCTGGGGGATAAACTCAGATCAAGAAAAGACGCATATTCGTTCAAAGCTGCTTTTTTTTTTTTTTTTACTATTTTGTGTGTGTGCACCATCAAATCAAATCTGACAGGTACAGGAAGAGATTGTCCCTTGTTCTCCAGCAGAGCATCTGGTGGCTTTGAACCGCATACCTCTGGGATTGCAGTGCAGCTTCTTGCCACTTGGCCACCAGAGCTCCCCAAAGCTGCTTTTTAACTACGTGCAAAAGGATACAGCTCTACGTGGGAGAAGCAAAGCCCTGGCTGCCATGGGGCTACCTGGGCAGGTGCAGACAGACAGGCCACACACACAAACTGCAATGCCCACCTCCCACCTGGGCACCGAGGCTGTACAGCTGGTGGGAGCCACATTGCCTCAGTTTACCTGACAAGCAGCAGACCCTCACTGACAGTGCATGGAGCCAACAGCAGACACTGACCTGGTCTCTGATGGCTGGGCACGTGGGGAGAAAACACTAGAAGGTTCGCTGTCCTGCTGTGGTCAGGTGATTCACAGTGACTCCGAGGGTCAGAGAGGAGCTGACCCTCGGGTTCTCTGAAGCCGTGTCTTCACAGAGACTGCTTTGTCTCTCTCCCAAGGGGCAGGGGGTGAGTTTGAACCACTGATCCTTTGATCAGTAGGCAAGCACTTCACCACTGCACCACCAGGGCCTCACAATAGTCCTGTTAACCTACAGCCAACCACGACTAAGAGGTGACTGAGTCTCCGTGCCCACAGGGCTCAGAGAAGTGCCCGTGGGGTCATCTCTAAGGAAGCAGATGGCCTCAGAGCGCACGCCCTCTCTCTCTCTCAGAGCAGCTGTGGCTTTGAACCACTGGCCTTTCAGTTAGTACCTATGTGCTTAACCAGTGCACCACCATGGCTCCACTCTCACTGGCCCTGAGACAGAGCAAACTGCTCCTTCCTCTTGACACCTACAGCTGTCAACTTGGGGCCCCAAGTGGCTGCTGAACCCCAGGAAGAAGCAGGGGAAGGTGTGGGAGGGACAGCTGGTGCTGGAGCTGGGAGGAAAGATTTTAGGGGTGGCTGAGCTTGTAGGAACCAGCCTTGGGCTGTTGGTACTGTTGATGGGGATGCTTTTCCTGTGAGGTTAGTGGGGGTCAGAAACACCCCCAAACACATCCCCAAACCCAATACACTGTTTACACACATGGAAACAGGCATGAGGACCAGAGGAGCTCAGGCATCCCTCTATGGCCCTGAGACCAGAAATGCCAGCTGGTGTCCACTGCTGGCCACACTAAAGGGATCACAATAGAGGGTCCTGGATAGAGCGACTGGAAAATGTAAAACAAAAGCTCAAAATTGGGGAACAAAGACCAGGCTGGCCAGCCCAATAGAGGCTGGTGGGACGCTGAGCCTGTGGCCTTGGTCACCCTCCAGCCTGGAACTGAACTCGGCCCCGAGACTCAACCTCCAGCCAAACATCAGACGGGCCTGTAAACCTGGCAGATAGGGTAACACTGACAGTAACACCAGGGAGGCACACTCCTTAGAACAAAGAGTCCTGTGAGGTCAAAGGGCAGCATGTGCCCAGGGAAAAGGTTCAGAAATCAGGAAGACAGAGGAGAGTAAAGGACATGGGAAGCACAGGGAGGAAATGGATAGAATGCTGCTCCATTGTGGGGACTGTGAGCAATTTCATGAAACAACATGTGGCTCAATGGTTGAGAGGAAAAACAATTTGCTCTGCAAACTTTCATCCACATTATAATATAAAGCTTTCTAAAAATCCTCTGGGTTGAAGAAAAAATCCCCTGGGTTGGGTGGAAGCAAGAGAGAAGAAAAGGGTTGCTGAGAACTGCAAAGTTCTAGCAGGAGGAAGCTTTTGCGGACCTGAGACACACATTTTGGTTTGTGACATTAATGATTATGCTTACAGTGTAACTACACTTCTCCCACTTCTTCCCTGTGAGTCTTGTTTCTGTTAATCCATTAAGTCTCCCTCTTTCTGCCTTGGGAGCTTTCACCCTGGACAAATGTTTTTCATTTTGTCAGGAGTGAGTATGCCTCTTGCATTATTGGTCATTGTTTATTGTTTGTTTATTGTTCGACTGACTGAAAGTTGAGCCACTGGGGTGAGTTCTGTTCCAGGCTCCATGAGGTGAGTAAGGGCTGTAATCTTGGGGATCCCATCAGTGTCTATCAGACCAGGAAGTTTGACTTTTTTTGTGTTTTTTTAGTTTGAGGTTCACATCTTTGCCCCCAGAAGAGTCAAGTGTGAGTGAGAAAGGTAGACTGAGGCAGCGGCAGAAACAGTGGAAAGAGATCCTGCAAGGCCAGAAGCCAGAACTCCTGTCTGACCACACACTCGATCCTCTGTAGGGTCCCCCCCCCCCAGTCCTGGCTGCGCCCACTGAGCTGGCCAGCACCCAGACTCTGGCTCATCAGCTGAGGAGGGTCCTTCTGGAGAGGGCAGCCTGGTGGGGCCCCTGACCTCCCACGGAGTCACGATGCGCAGGCCTGTCCTTGACCTCACCTGACTCCCAGAGGTCCTCCAGTGGTCCCCACAAAGCTTTCAAAAGGAAATGTCACTTCCCCTGTCCCTGAGGGACACCAGCCAGCAGCACAGAGAAACATGGCTCCCCATCTCTGTAGCCCCCTCCTCCGAGTGGCCAAGGGGCAGCACTCTGGTCCCCGTCAGTCACCACAGGAAAAGCCACAATGGCAGGCGGCTCACCAGAGCATCATGAGGAGAAAGACCCCAGTCAGTTAGAGGGAGTCGTAGTGACAGAAAACAGTCACCCGGGAAGTGATACTTCCTCCTGAAGAGGTTTAGACCAGTCATGGCGAGGGCCGCTGGACACCACAGACCCGTGTTCCCCAGGGCTCAGTGAGGCCCAGCTCACGGTGAGTCACAGCCACGGGTGTGTGGTCACTGTGACCTGTCAGGGACATCACCAGGCCTTTCTCCCGTCGCTCCCCTGTGTGGACTTGAATCTCTAACCTTTGGGTAGCAGCTAAATTCCTGAACCATGTGCACCTTCCAGAGAGCAAGGGAGGGGGACTGGCAGAGTGGCAGCAACAGCAGGCGCACACACGGCAGGCAGCACAGGGGTGGCGTGGCTTCCTTCTGTCTTACACAAGCCCTTGTGAGTCGGAGCTGACTCAGCGACACCTCATAACAGTAGGGGTCCCCAGACTCCCTGAGGACACCTTACAACAACAGGGGTCCCCAGATCCCCTGAAGACACTTCACCACAATAGGAGTCCTCAGTCTCCAGATATACCTTACAACAGGGGCCCCAGCAACCCCCAGGACACTTCACAACAAGGGTCTCCAGTCTTCCTGACAAAACCTCACAACAATAGGGGCCCCTAGCCCCTGATCACATCTCACAACAGGGACCCGAGCACGCCCGAAGACACGTCACAACAACAGGGGCCCCAGCATCCCCCAGGAAACACCTCACAACAACAAGGGTCTCCAGTCTTTCTGACACCTCACAAGTCCCCAGCCCTACAGTGGTGTCCTGAGAAGGGTCCTGTGCCTCTGTCTTGAAGTGAGCCAGTGCCCTCCCAGCCCCCACAGGAGGAAGCAGCATGTTGCGGGGGTGGGGGACACCCTTACCTGGGTGGTCCTGGGACCTGGCGGCTCCCTGCACCTACACGGAGAATAGCACAAGTGAGACACGGCTTGGGGCTTCGGGGCCCACACTCAGCCCCTCAGCCGTGGCCTGGGCTCACCTGTCGGGGGGACGGTAGCAGCAGCAGCAGCAGCCAGGGATGCCAGGAGCGGAGTGGCATGGTCCCCGCCTTAGGCTGGCCACATGGGACACCTAGGGTCAGTCTGTGACCGGGGTCTCACTAACGCTCTTGTCCCCTGCAAAGGGACATTTCCACAGATCCGAGGGGACGTCCGTTTCTGTGAAGCTGTGGGCTCAGTGACTTCTGGGAGCTGGCGGTGAGGCGAGGTGATGGGCAGCAGACAGCAGGACACGGTGAAGGCGGCCCCAGCAGCCCGGGAGCCACGTCCAAACAGCCGGTAACTTGTGCTGGTGGCTCCGATGGCCGCTCAGAGTCTCCCTTCGCTGGGTCGGCAGCTGTCCCAGGCAGGCTGGACAATGAACAGCGGATGTGCAGACAACAGTCTGGGGACACTTCTGGGCCCCTCTGCCTGCAGGCTGGCCTCGCCTGCCTCCACCCAGCTCCTTGGAGGGAGCGGCTGGGCCAGGCTCCTCCTGGAATGAATTTCCCTCTCTCCTGCCTCTGCACAGCGGCCAGCCCTCCCGGGCCAGCCCTCCCGGGCCCTAGCGCCAGGCACCGCAGCCGTCCACCAACAGAAGAGGACTCGCCTTTCCTCCCAGATGCCCTCGAGGTCCACACCCTCCTGGGTCAGCACTGATCTGTGGATAAAAAGCAAACCCACAAACCACAGCTGGTTCCCATCTGCCTCCACTGCCCAGCAGGAGAGATAGGTGTTGTCTTCATGGGGTGACCACACCCACCCTGCTGGCCTGGCCGCAGCAGCAGCAGCAGCAGCTCCCGCCATGGCCTCCCCTTTAACCCTTCCAGGGTCAAGGGAACCCCAGATTGCAGTGGGACTTCCAGACAAGGACAGACTAGGAAGAAAGGCCTGGCAATCTGCTGAGAAGCCCACGGACCACAAGGGCCAGCTGTTGGGTTTGCTCACTCTGGACATGTCACCAGGAGGGATCAATCTCTGGGGACGCCATGTGTGCTGAAGGAGAGGGTCAGTGAGGGCAGGGGGTCCTGTGTGACAGAGGCTGGCACAGCAGCCCCCGTGGTGGGACTGACTATGAGCACGCCAGAGGGCTGGGCACCTGTTATCCTATGACATGGAGGTCACTGTGAATTGTAGCAGCGTCTATCCATCATCTAAAAAGACATTATGCTGGAAAGGTAGAGGGTCAGAGAGAGAGGACAGCCTTAACGAGATGGACATCCACAGTGGCTACAACAGCGGGGGTGAGCACGTCAGAGACGGCAGGGACCGTGCAGGGGAGGAAGAGGTCCAGGTCTGTCCACAGTGTCGCTGTGAGTCATAGCCACTCTGTAGCACCTAACAGCTTCACAGCAATCTGTCTATAATCTATCAGTCAACCCTGTTCATCATCTATGTTGTTGATACCATCGAGTCGAGCTCAACTCATAGCGACTCCATGAACAAAAGACCCAATGCTTTTCCGTACTCCAAGTTTATAGAGTTTCCAGAGGCATGTGGTTTAGGAAGTGGATACCACTCCGGCTTCCCAACCTGTTTTACAAGTGGGAGCTCCACCCAACACTGTCCACAACGGGGAAACCATTCTGGTATTTGATATTCCCATGGCACAAGGTTCAGCATCACAGCAAAGTCAGGTTACCTCATAAAGAACATTGACAAAGAATGATGTGCAAAGTGGAAGAATGTTCCTCCAGGTATAACAGCACTAGTCTCATTTAGCAGTGGTTAAGTGTTGTCGAGTCAAATATGACTCAAGAGTAAGCTTTGCACAAAAGACCTGAACTCCGTTCTAAAAGTAAAAATACTTCTGTACATAGCCATCTATATATTTCCCCTCTCACCTCTCACACACCCTACTCTCAGCCCCCAGGCAGCCTTTTCATCAGACAAAAGTGTCAGAACTTGGCCAGCCTGTACCTCAGTTTACCCATGACCTAAAAAATTGTCCAGCCTTCTCCAAACATGCCCTACCTCTGGCATGTTGCTAAGAGAGGCTATTCCTTGGAGAGGGACATCATGCTTGGAAAAGCAGAGGGTTGACGAAGGAGAGGAAGACCCTCCACCAGGTGGACTGACAAGGTGACTGCTGCGATGGGCTCTGGTGTGTCAGGAAGGGTGAGGATGGCGCAGGACAGGACAAGGTTCACATCTGCTATTCACAGCGTTGCTACGGGTCGTCCTCGACTTGACAGCAGCTAACAACCACATAACTTCATACATAAGTACAAACAAATTATTATAGTCACAGTTACTATCAGCTATGTGATTTACCCAACACTAACCTCACACGCGTGTTCAGGAGGAGCTGGTCCCTGGAAAAGGACATCATTCTTGTAAAAGTGGAGGGTCAGCGAAGGAGAAGACCCTCGAGGAGAGGACCGACATGGTGGCTGCGGCCATCGGAGCCTGTGAGGAGGGAGCAGGGTTTGCTCTGTGTACATGGGTCCTTGTAAGTTAGAGACAACTTCACAGCACCTCACAACAACCTCCCTAAAAGGAGCACTGGTGGAATGATGGTTAGAGCACTCAAGTGTTAATGGAAAGGTCAGTGGTTCAAACCCACCAGTTGCTCTGCAGAGAAAAACCTATAGCCGTCTGCTTCTGGGAAGATTTACAGCCTTGGAAACCGTGGCGGGTTGGGGATGTCCTACCCTGTCCTGTGGTGGTCGCTGTGAGGTGCTACTACTGAGTGACATGTGGACCACAGGGTGAAGCCATCTTCATCATCGCCACTGCATTTAAACCTATTGTGGCAGCCATGAGGTGAGGATCTTCTCTGCTCTGTAGGGTGTGACTTAGAGGTGACATTCCCTCCTCTGTGACGTGAAGGTGGCATCACCTCACCTGTGAAGTGGAGGTGACAGTCCAGTTCCTGCTCCACGGGATTTGTAAGGAGATGTGACTCAAAGCGTACAGGCTCTAGGTTCGCAGCTAGGACATTGCCTGCACTCAGTAAATGCTAGCCCTCTTTACGAAGAGGTCCAAATCCATGAGCTGCACATGGCAGAAAGATGGGCAGTCTCCTCCCACGTGACTGACTGCCTCTGAAAACCTGTTGGTGGGTCAGCTCCAAGTCAGTTCCAACTTGAGGGAACACATCACTCAGCAAATGTTTATGATGATAAAACTTGAGGACAGTTTTCAGGAAGTATCCCTGGTGTAACTGCCAAGATCCTCCCTATTTTAAATGGAAAGAGAATTGGGCTCCAGCCGACTTCCTGAAGAGGGTGCGAGGCTGTGCACAGCCCTGTCCTCAGAGGAGAGACGTGGGGTGGGAGATGACTGCTCTCCTCTAGTGTTATAACCCAGGACCCCGGCCGCCCGGCCCAGCCTAGGCAGGTCCCCCGGTGCAGACCTCTGACCCCAGATGCTGGTGCAGCTGGATTCCAGTAGTGGACTTTCTCCTGTGGGCCATGCGCACTGCGCCTGGGAAAAACCGATTTACAGCCGTTATCGCTGCATGTCCTCAGGAGCTTGCCCCACCCGCAGAGGGCACAGGTGAAGGCTAGCTGGATGTGGGCTTCTCAGGACGCTTCTGGAACAGAAGGGCACCCACCAAACCCACAGCCATCACATCACCCCTGACACAGAGCTCCCCTCTACTGGATCCCCAAGCAGTAAACCTTCGCTGAGGGACAGCCGGTCTTTCTCTAAAGAGATTCAAATCATCAGCCAACATACTATGCACTGCACCACCAGGACATCCCAATCCACAATGTCCATTATTTAATGATGCAGACTCTCTTCATGTGGAAACGGTCATGATTTTTTAACATAACAATGAGCGATCTGATGGGATTGTTCTCCATTGTGTGTTATGCCTCCACGCCTGTGGCTGTGGCCCCATCTGGAGGTGTCTCATCCGTTGTGTTAACCAGGAAGGAACAGGAAGAGATGCTGGTCATAGTGACCACGGACCGTCAAAAGGACGAACAAGTCCATCTTGGAGGAAGGGTACCAGGGTGCTTCTTAGAGTCAAGGGTTGGGGAAACTTCATCTCCCTACTTTGGGCATGTTGTCAGGAGTGACCAGTCCCTGGAAAAAGACATCATGCTGGAAAAGGTGGCAGGTCAGAGAAAGAAAGGAAGACCGTCAATGAGCTGGGCTGACACAGTGACTGTAGCAATGGGCTTAAGCATATTAAGAGTCCTGAGGTGTGGGACAGGACAAGGCTCAGATCTTTTGCTCACAGGATCCCTAACAATTCTAGTCTATTACTATTATTATTAATGAAAATTTACAGAGACTTTGGATTTCCATTCATTCATTGTTGCACTTTTCTCCCTGCCTACCCCTCCCCCCGCAGTTCATTCTTCTCTTTGAAAAAGAAAAGAAAAATTCTTTCACTGTTATACAATCCCTCTCTTCACTCCACTATGCAGCCTTTATTTTGGACTCCTGTCATGACAATAATACCTAATCATATATACCTTTTAAACAGTTGAGAGTCCTAGTCTATTTGAGGGTGCCTGAAAACAACCACAGAGGGTGGAATATGCCTTGAGCCACCTCCTCATTGGACAGTGTGAACCAATCACCACTCTCATCACCATCACTACCTTCCACAGCCCACACCGCCTCACTCAAGTAAGGGGCGTTTCCTTAGGGACCAGGCAGGTCTGCACTGCCCCTGGTGTATGTGGACACTCTGCAGAGCCCGCTCCCTTCTCCGTGTCCTGTATCCTGCTCCCTTCACTGACCTCAGGTTCTCAGAACTTGTCGATTAGCCCGGTCAGTCTCTGCCACCACGTGAGCAGAGACCCCCCTCCAGCCTGCCACCAGACCCCGGAGCCGGGACCTCCTGCCTCCACAGCTGGGTGACCCCTTGAGGGTCACATGATGTGGTCATGAGCTCTGTGAGACCGTCCAGTGATCTGGGGTCCCCGTAGCGGAGGGTGGGAAGGGGATTCGGTGCCAGAGATGTCAGTGTGATCCAGCCATTGGGAGAATCAGACATTTAGGACATTTCCACCCTCTGCTTCATAGGAACCTGCGCAATGCTGATTCTTCTAGAAGAAATGCTTCATGCCTTCAACGAACCATGGATTGGAAATATCCA